ACCCACCCCCCCCCCAAAAAGCAAAGAAGTTTCCAAACTCCTATAGAGCCAGCATCACAGGATACCAAAACCAGATATGGATATCCCGGATGAACACATAAGCATGAACGGGAAGCTAATACATGTAGTACCACATTGAGTAGAGTGTATGCCATTGGCAGTCAGGGCTTGCTCTTCAGATACAAAGATATGCTAACTAAGGAACCTATCAATATACTACACAAATGGCTGAAGGATGGAAGAACAGTACCATAGTGGGCACTGCTATGTGTTGAATGTCTTCCAAATGATTATGTGTAGGACCGTTAATTCTGCAGCACAGTGGTTTTCAAAATCGAGCCCTAGTGGGAAGCATCTGGGCTGTGGAGACAGGGACGATATGCCTTGTCCATAGTGTCCTTTCAAATCTTTCTCATACATGAGTGATACCGTAATGGTGTTCATCAACCCTCTTCCCACAGAGCTCATACATCCCGCATGTTGTGCCATACTGTTTTTGATAACTTCCTGTCAGAAACAAAATCATTTATGTCTTTGGGGACTATAGTCCAGACAATGCATTTTCACATCAGGTATCCATTAACTCACGATCCTAAGTTCATCTTTGCTCTGTCAAAGCTGGCAAACAGCAGTGGGCAGGTGGACTTTGTCCTAGAATACGCAGTTGGGAATCTGAGTTAAAATGTACCCTTCTTTATCCGAACTGTATGCATTATTTATGCTACTGTCATTGTTGCCTCTGCTGCTTAGTGTGTTCTTATTGAACTCAGAATGAAAACTATTGTCGGCTAATTCTAGTACATTATTTTAAATTGTTGGACAATGAATGTGTTAAATGAAATGTTGGCTTTTTCCAAAGGTACTTAGACATTGTAATTATTAACTTGTTTTGTCAGAAGTATTGTGTACTCAGTGATGTGATCTCAGGTGCTCTAGGGTTGTAAAATTCTTCATGAGACATGCAGCTGAAGATGAGTTTGAGATACTTGCTATTTATTTTTATAGTATTCATCTCAAGAGAACTCTATGCAGAAGGTAAAATTAATTTTTTAGTATTCTTTATTCTCCAAAATGTATATGGAAAACAGAGAGTCTAACTGTCATATTACTTGAATTTTAGCCTATATTGTGTTTCAGTATACCAATTTTGTAATACATGCTTTAAATAAATGCAACTTGTTTTTACATTTTGGTAATGTTTCTTTGGACAAAACCAGTGCGGTACTTTTATAGTACTGTGACTTGGACAATCAAAGCAAATTCCATTATTTCTCTAGATTTGGGGGCATAGGGAGCCAGGTTCTAACGACTTTAAATGGTCTTTTGGTTAATATACAGCAGTTTGGAAGTCACATATTTGCCTTAATTAGAGTTTTAGCTATGAATCCATGCATAGACTCTCTTCTTATCGTGAGAGTCTAATTTGGGAAATTTGAAAAAAGAAGGAGTTCATCAGCAAGATTCTACTTGTGCTATTGTTTTCATTGTCTGGATTACTAAGTAGCAATTATTTTGAGGGCAATGTAGTTGATTATAGAAACAGGAGCACTGGGGGAGAGAAAAGCTACTACAGTGCTGTAAATCAAATTGCCCAGAGATACCAACATTACAGATTTGTTATGATAGATTTTTGTGGGCAGACTCCCTAGAATGTAAACCAGATGTGAGTCAAAGGTGGGCAATGTACCACTGGGACTAACTTGGGATGTAGCCAAGGTTATCAGATGGTAAGGTTGGGCCCAGGCAGGTGAGTCAGTGACCAGCCAGAGCTCCTCTAAATTAACATCTATAATTACCATTGTGTTTTAGTTGACTAGTTCACACAAATTTTCCACCAACAATAGTATATAAATTAAACTATGTTGCTCTCATTTCACACAAGTAAAGCAAGTAATATGCTTGCAGACAGGAACAATATTCCTGTGCTAGTTACAAAACTAGATGAGAACCTCATGGGTAAGAAGTGAGTTAATTCTAACCTTGATCCCAAATTCCCATTCTCTTAGGACCCACTCTAGAGTTTAGGCATGCTCCTTCATATGATAATGGCTTTGTAAAGTACGTATTTTTAAAAATGAATTTTGTTATTGTTTGATGTTGGGTCATAGGTGCCACAGCAGAGGCAGAAGTTCACCAAGATGCTACAACTCCGTTTTCCAAAAGAGCAAATGGGTACGGCCTTCTCAGAAAAGACTGACCCCCAGCTAACTCATTCCAGTTACTTTATTCAAACAAATACAGTGTTAATTGAGGCTGGGAAAGGTTCCAGCTACAAAAGTCATGTTGCTTTTACTGCCTAGGAATGCAGACAACCCATACATATCTCAGTCACTTTTGATTACAGCTTGCCCTAATCAAAAGGCTCCCCAAAATCCAGCTATCAAAAGGCATAATACAAGAAAGATAATTAGGGAAAAAGGAAATCATAGAAGTCTTAACATTCAAAGCAATATAGGAATAATGTGAATAAATAAAAGAACTCCCGGTCTTCCAAAAGCATATTAGGACCAGGGTTGATGCAGCTGCAAACTCTCTAGAGAAACATGTCATCAAGGTTTAAACAATCTCAAAACATTTTTCAGCCTCTACTGATTAAATGCAAGCATAGCAAAGACTTTGTTGAAACATTTTCTCAAGCCAGACACAAAGGTTTCACCATACAGATCACTACATTCTGCTGTTATAATAATGAAACCTTATTGTAGACTTTTATCTTTGAAGCGTTTTACTTTATGACATACTGTTATTCCCACATTGCTTTTAACTGTCATAGAATTTTCTATATTTTATTTATCTGTACTTGTAATGATGGGCATATAGTTATTCTATATGAGTAGCTCTGAAATCAATGTGGCTGTATCACTTCATCTCTCTGACTTATGGTACTGAACTTCTATGGTACTTAACAATAGAACACTTTGCAAAAGTGTATATAAACTCTGTTTCAGAGCTCATAATCTCCAAACACTTAACATGTTGTTCTTGCCTCTCATGATCCTCCTAAATACTTCAAATTATCTTATTTGGGGTCCTGTCATTGTCTAGTGATTCCATCTCAGTATTACTTGGCATAGTCATTTGCTTCTTAGTAAGTTTGCACATTTATTCCTATATTGCTTAGATTGCTAAGACTTCAGTGATTTCGTATTATCTCTAATTATATTGCTTTATGCCTTTTGATAGGTGAATTTTGGGAATCCTTTGGTACACTATTAAATGTGTAGTTTGGCAGTTTGATTTTCATATCCCTTATCAAATATTATTTGTATTTTTCATGGAGGGTGATTTTTATCCAAAGTAATTCCTAATTTTGATATTATAGAATACATTGTTTGCCTCACAGTTTCTGCTTTGTTCTTGACCTTCTGAAGCTCAGAATGTGTGGACTCAATATGTGGACTTCACTGTCATAAGGAAGAAAATGTAAACTTTTACATTCATTGTATTCATTAGTTCTTTCCCTAAGACTATTTTGCTATTCTGTACATTTGATGAGTTATTTATGTTGTGTATTTTCATTTTCAGTAGAGTCACTGTCTGTTTTTTTTTTTTTCTGCTCTGTATTGACAGTGTCTCTCCTTATGCGTTTAAGGGTCCTTTCTTGCAGTTGTGAAGTCCTGTGCCTATCTATTTGCAAAGCATGTTTCATCCAGTGCTTACTGTGTAGCCTGTTGACGCTTTTATTATGATGACTTCTTTTCTGATGAGTTTTCATTCATCAAAGCATATTTACTACCTTGGCTGGTGTTGAAAGAGCAGATCCAGGGCAGGAGACATAAGGTATAAACCAGGACAGTGTGCCTATTGGTTGATGTCACTTACCAGAACAGTGGCCCTTGGGATCACTGTTCTCCATATCACAGCTTTTTTGGGTCTTTGCACTGTAAATTCCTGGTGTTTGGGTATGGGAAATACCAGAATCTTTGGAGACTCCACTGCACATGTTTTATTAGCTTCTGGAAATACTATGGTGCCTATGATTTTATCTTGTTTTTCTCAGCCATGATGCCACTGCCATTATTTTCTGCCTAAGACAGAAAACCACAGAGGGAGTCATTCTGACTTCGTTACCATGGTTTACTTTGCTTCCTCAAACAATTCACATGACTTATATGCAACTAGCTTCTTTCACTCACTGTATTTTTTTTCCCAAGAGATTATTTTATTCAAATTAGAAACAAGCCTGCTTCACATGTCAATCCCTTTTCCCTCTCCCTCCCCTCTCCCCCAATCCCTCCCCATCTCCCCATCTCATCCCCTCCTCTTCTCCCCAGGGAGGGTAAGATCCCCCATGGGGGTTCCCCAAAGTCTGTCATATCATCCTGGGCAGGGCCTAGACCCTCCCCCATGTGTCCAGGCTGAAAGAGCATCCCTCCATGTGGGATGGGCTCCCAAAGTCCCTTCTTACACCAGGGATAAATACTATTCCACGACCAGGGGCCCCATAGAGTGCCGAGACCTCCTCATTGACATCCACATTCAGGGACTGTTATCCTTTTGAGGATGATTTGAAAATTGTGGGCTTCAATTCAGCCCACTCTATTGCACTATTCTCTAAAGCTGTGATTCTCAACCTATGAGTCACTCCTTAGGGCTCACATGTCAGATATTTACATTACAATTAATCACAGTGACAAAATTATAGTTATGAAGTAGCAACAAAATCATTTTATGGTTGGGGTTCACCACATCATATGAGGAACTGTAAATATTAAAGGATCACAGTATTAGGAAGGTTGAGAAACACTGATCTAAACTGCATCATTATCTTTTTGCCGTTATAGGGAACTTAGGTTGTTTGCAGTCTGATGGTGTTATGAACAGTGATCATACGAATGTGCTTTCTGTCTCTTTGAACTCACCGTGTGCCTTTCTATGAGGTGACCTTGTATGTATTCTGCTTTAGTAAATATCTCCAATGTACTGCCTCATGTGTGACAGGTCCTGTTTCTTTGGTCATTATGAGAATTTGTCTCTTTCCTTTCGGTCATTTTAGTGGCATTGCAGTAATGTAATGGTGGTTTGATGTGAATTTCCCAATCACTAATCAAGATAAATATTTGCTCTTAAACATTCTCATTTTCAAAATCATTGCAAAAACCTCTTATTTTATGGATTATGTACCTCTTTTCTAAAAGATGCCACTTCACAGTTGTGTGAGTTTCTGTATCTCAGCGGCCTTATCTGTTCTGCTATAGCAGACCCTTGTCACATAGGTTGGCTGCCTGCTTCTCTGAGTCCCCAGTTGTGGGTTCATCCAACTTCAAGATAGAAATTAGTTGAGGAAAAATTCCAGGAAGGTCCCAGAAACAAAAATTGAATTGGAATTCACATTCATAAAATGATGGGCAGGCAATGTACTAAATATTATAAGCATCCAGAGATGATTCAAATTACATGGGTGGAGATGTGTATGGTATATGTAAATTTTTAATCACTTAATATAAGAGACTGAAGCATCTGTGGGTCTTGGCATCTACAGGGTAGTCTTGGAATCAAGACTGCCAATACAGAACTCTGTCAACTCTATGGCTATTGAGCACAGAAACATAGCTGGTCCAAGCAGAGCTGTTCTGTGAATGAAATGCCTGCTAGATTGAAAGAGTAAGAACTAAGAATACAAAATACTTTAACACATTATGTTAAATAAAAGGTATCACTGAAACAAAGCACGCCTTTATTTTTATTTTTACTTTTACACTGTGAGTTCCAGAAATGTTAAAATTGCATATAAGATGTCATGATGTGTCTATGAGTGTATTGTTCTACAAAACTAGAAGAAATTTCCAGGAAGAAATGGCTTGTCAGTTTTTCTGAGTAACACAGCTATTCAGAATTGTCAGCAGATATAAAGAGGGGAGGGCATGATATTAGATATTTAGATTGTCACAATATCACTTCTAAACTTATGTTATGAAGATAAGTGCAAACTGAAGAATCTGCAAAAAAATATTTAGGAATGATGTTTAATCACAAGTTTCATGGGTTTACATGTTTTTCCATTTTCAGCTTGAGTTTTCCTCATTTCAGAGAAACAGTGTGATTTTCCTATGGTGGAAAATGGAAGGATTGCCCAATATTATTATACATTTAAACGCTTTTACTTTCCAATGAGCATAAACAAAACACTGTCATTCTTCTGCTTGGCTGGCTTTGCAAGCGAAAGTGGGAAGCAAGAAGGGCAAATCAGATGTACAGCAGAAGGCTGGTCTCCAAAGCCAAGGTGCTTCAGTAAGTCAATGCATGCTGTCAGGGCAATGCTTATAAGCTAGTTCCTTAGAAAACAATGTTTATCTATATTAAATGTGAATGGTGGTTAAACTTTGCGTAGATAATGCCAAAATTACCATTATAAAATACCATATCTGAAATCCTGTGAAGGATGCTTTTATATCAGTGAGTCATTTCATCTGTTTTTAATAGTACTTGTGAAGAAATATCTTAAAATGTTGTTTTTCAGGCTGCAAATAACAGGTTCATTTGGGCTACTTTAAGTAAGGAGGAACTTATCATATCCATAATCTTAATATGAAGCCAGAATAAGATGCAAGGTCTGGTTTCATAAGGAATGAGCCATTCTAGTACTTTGTCATGTGTATATTTGTTACTCATCTGCATGCCCACTTTTATTTTTCTTATCCATTGGAAGTTTCAGTTTTCTGCATACTGACTTGAGATTTATGAGTAGTGTCATAACAGGCTCATTGCATTGCTTCATGGCACAGTGTGTCACTTTATCATTGGCTTCCATGTACTTAGGTAAATGTCTTAAGTTGCGAGTCCCTTGAATTTCTGTTTTCCAGAGTAAACGGCTTGCATTAGGTCCTTTGCATTCAGGGGAGGAATTTTGGTATGGCAGTAGCTGTGGCTGCAATACACAGTAAACAGAACTGCATAGGACATTCATTCATTCTGTGTCTTCAAGACAGACCAGAATTCAATATGACATTTTTTCCTGTTAAGATAGAATATACAGTTTATAATATAAGCCTCATTGTGGCATCATAAAAAGAAGTTACATACCTTGAATTTGCTTTCTAAAGAGATAGAACATTGCAGAGATTGGCATGGGAGCATAATGGTCAAAATATGATCTCTGCAGCCAACTGACTGCATGTGATTCCAGCACCATCTATGAAAGTGACTTGAAAATTATTAGCCTGTTTCATATGCAAAAAGGAGAGTTAATATTGCTTCTTAGAAGCTTTCAAGTAGAGTGTTTGCCACACAGCTAGTAGTAAATGTGTTTATGTTAATTGTAACCTTAGACAAGTCTTTTAACCCTTCTAGATTGCTTTGTCATAAAGGTCCAATAATATGGCTTACAAAAATGATAGGGATTTCTAATGTGAAGGTAATTTTATTATATTGTAGCTTACAGTGCACATATTTACCAAAAACTTGATTGTAGACTCAAAGGTTTTTGGGACCAAATGTTTGACTTAGTCTACCCACACTGACTCCTGGACCCTGTGCAGTGATGTGATCTCAAAATATTTTCTCAATGAATGAATGAATAAAAGCTTTATAGTAAGATACTTTAGAACTATTTAGTTATCCATTAAGTATGTTTTTGATTACATTATAAAACAATAGATTAAAACATCAAGTAGATCAAGGAGAAATTACTTTTACTTGTGATTAATGACAATTAGTGAAAAATTATTGGTGTATTTTCCAAAAGAAGATGCAGTAAGAGTAGGAGTGGCTATAAAATCGAGATTTGTAAATACAAAATCAGTTAATCTCAAACTGAATCCATTTCCAAAGGAATGTCATACAGGGCATATCAGATATTTTCCACGTTGAACTGTATCAAAGAACTCTGAGTGAAAATTATTTTACTGCTCAAAGTTCCAACTAAAAGTAATATTATGTGTTTGTATTAATTTTTCAGTTTAGTAACGTATAATCTGAATCTTACTATTAAGCAGATCAACATTATAATTTCCTTAAGAAACTAAAGCACATTTGCTTTTAAAACACAGAAAAATGCCTGAAGCCTAACCTAAGGAATGGTTATGTCTCTGATGGAAAAGTACTGTACAAAATTCAAGACAGCATGCGCTATGGTTGTACTTCAGGATACAAAACCACTGGAGGAAAGGATGAGGAGGTGGTCCAGTGTCTTTCTGAGGGGTGGTCTTCACAACCATCCTGCAGGAAGGAACAAGGTACACATCACATAGTAATATTTCCTAAAGCTCAGCATATGATCCTATGAGGCTATGCTTCACTCAAGAGATGGTTTTCTTTTGTATGATTGATTTTCTACTATGTCTCTTCTGTGTGAGAAGTTGACAGTACTTTGCATTTCTCTCATGCTTGGTGTTTTCTTAATGCATGAGTTCTCAACTCCAACAAGTCTCCTGCCTCATGAGATCTTACTCTGAACCAATAAGAATGAGCTGAAGTGCTCAAAGTGAAAGAGCCCTCCAAAGCTTTCCTGTATAATTCATGCAATTATTTTCTTCAATGCTAATTTGACAGTGTAAGTTGTTTAAGTTATGCAAATCCACAGAAGACACTTAATCCAAATATTTCCTCACAAGACTTCATCTGACATGAGGCCTTTGGTCAAGTACAATGGAACAATATTTCAAAGTAGGAGACTGAGAGAGATGGCTTACATGAATATGAAAAGGAAACCACAGAAGCAAAGTGATGTTTTCAATTTTGCAATGATTGACTTTACCACATATTATTAATATTTAATGTGATACACGTTGTGACTTCTTTTTAATATTCTAGGGTTTTGATGAAGCCTATCAAAGTTCCTAAAATAAATGTTTAACTTTTCAGAGACATGTTTGGCCCCTGAGTTGTATCATGGGAATTATTCCACGATGCAGAGAATATTCAAAGTGGAGGACAAAGTGCAATACTCTTGTGCTGCTGGTTACTACACTGCTTCGGGGAAGCAGGCTGAGGAAGCAGAATGCTACGTACATGGGTGGTCCCTCACCCCACAGTGCAACAGTAGGTTCTCACTTCAGTAAGAACTTTTTGCTGCACAATTTCATCTCATATAAGTTGTCTTTCTGGCAACATTCCATGCCTCTTAGTTTTGTCTTCAGTTGCAATTTAGTTAATAGTAGAATTTGGTCATTTCAAGCTTTCAAACAGGAAAACCTTGTTTTGGCTATTGTAATCCAATTCAGTTAAACCTGCTAATATTTAACAAGATAAGAATATATTAATGAGCTTATAGAACAGAATATAGCAAATGTTATACTATCCATTCCAGATATGGACTTTAAATTTCTCTTTGGGAAAAATAAATATGTTTTGTTATTTTTACCTGTTCTTTCATTTTTTTTAGAATTAATGTGCTCTTCTTTGAGATTAATAGAAAATGGCTATTTTCATCCTGTAAAGAAAACCTATGAAGAAGGAGATGTAGTTCAGTTTTTCTGTCATGAAAATTACTATCTAAGTGGATCTGATTTAATTCAGTGCTATAACTTTGGCTGGTATCCAGAATCTCCCATATGTGAAGGTAACTTTTAAAGATTTCATACTTAAAAATTAGTTTTAATTTCTATGATCTCTGAATGATCACATCTATTTCTAATTGCAGAACTATTTTTAAAATAATTATTGCATATCAAGTCAGTGAATTTTTATCTGAAGTAACTAAACTTTGTTTGCATTTGTGTAGTAAGCAATACGTTATATGTAACGTGCATATGTCTGAATATATATATGTGTGTAGCTGTGTATATGTTTGTGTGTGTGCATGTGCATGTTTGCACACAGAAGCTAGAAGTTCATGCCAGGTGTTTCCCTCAGCCCCTCTCAGTTTTTGCAGGCAGTCCTCTCATTACACCTGAGCTTATTGAATTAGTTGGTCTGCTTAGATAATGAGCATCAGGTTGCCTCCATCTCTGCCTTCCTAGTGATGGATTATACCTGCCAGTGTGCCTGGCGTTTACACAGATGCTAGGGATCATACTTAGCACCCCCTGTATATAAGGCAAGCAACTTTATCAGTTTCGCTATCTCCTCGGCCCTGTGCTTGATATTTTAAAACTTCAGTCATATATTTTCAATCTGTAGCTGGGTAAGGCACTATCTTAATTGGCCACATATTCCTTGATGTGAAAAGTCCATCTCCAAAATAATAGAGTAGGAAGCACACACAGCAGAAGAATATTATTAGCCTGAAGGGTAAATGGAAAATGAGGTCAGTCATCTGGTTGAACAGTCCAGACATATAATAGTTAAGGTTTGATTTCTATCCCTGGTTGTGCTCTAAGGGGTGCTATGACTTCCTTCAGAAGATACCAATTCGTAGCCATAGATTAGTGCAGTGTGAGAGAATTCTCACTTCCATATTCATAGAAATGGCAGATTGTATTGAACTGAGTCTGAAAAATAAACACAAATCTGATGATTTGGTGAGTATGACAGGCAAAAGGTGCAAAGCCACTATTTCTGCTGTAATATAGGAAATAGTTTTATTATTGACAGACCGGCCAAAGACCTAGGAGCAAAAGAGAAAAGTGTGATTGAAATAGATGCCAGCAGGAAGGAAAGAGGTGTCTGGACAGAGCAAGGATGGCAGTGAGCAACTGCTTTGAAGTTTTAGCAACTTTCTAGTTGAGCCCAACAGCCTTGGTATAACTGTGTATGGGGGTGGGGGGCAGGTGTTAGCAAGTTGTACCATATTGTCTCAAAAATATATAAGACTTACTGCCTCTTATGCACCCCTCCAAATTAGCATGGCCACATACCTATGGTTTTATAATTAATAGTGATTGTGTGTAGTATACTAATTTGTTGAGCAATATACTTCCCAACCCCAGATATCCTCATCTTAGTCCTAGAGCCAGCATAGTAGACTTATGTGGCAAAACAAATACAGGGATGGACTAAAGATCTTGAGGCTATTATCTGTTGTACTTTATTTAGCCCCTAAATACAATGGCCAGTGTCAACGGATCTGAAAGGGTACTTGACAACAGAAGAGGAAGATGGATATGTAACAATGGAAGGGAACAGTTTTCCCTTCTTTATCTATAATATGTGAAGAATTTGTTTAGGACTCAGGAGATGGTGACTGTAAAATACTCAAGATGGTTCTGTGGGTCAGGGTTGTGGGTGTGGCTTCACTGGTTGTTGTGCTACATCAGTGCAATCTTGAAGGTTTGGCTTGGCAGTAATACTCCAAAATCATTGTGGGTGTTGGCAGCTTTCTGTGCTTTGCATGCTGCTGAGGCACAGGCCTACTGGCTTTGGGCTGAGGTAGCCCTCTAACCTTTGCCTGCTGGCCTCCTTTGTTAGGACTCTCATAGTGCAGCAGGTTGATTCCTCAAAGCCAGTAGGGAGAGGGTCTTCCAGGAAGAGTGGCATTGTGTTGTTGGCCATCATGTAACATAACCACATACTAATTCATCATCTTTCCATAAGAAACAATTGGCAGGTACCACTCAGGAAAGGGATGCTGTGTCAGAGAACAGTCATAAAAGGGTTTTCCTGGTGCCTGTCTGCCATATTTTCTGTGGTTCTTTACACCATAAATATTATCAATAAATCTTTACCATTTTTGTAATTACATGAGGTTAATAGGCCAATATTTTTATACAAGGAACAAGAAGTCGATGTCCTCCTCCACCTGTTCCTCTAAATTCCAAAATTCAACCATATTCAACAACTTACCGCCATGGAGAAACAGTTCGTATAGTATGTGAACTTAATTTTGTGATTCTGGGTTCAGAAGAACTCCTCTGTGAAAATGGAAAGTGGACAGAACCTCCCAAATGCATTGGTTGGTAACATCTTTTTAAGTTAGTTTTCGTTAATATTTTAATTCGTGTATTTGATACTGAATTTTATTGTGCCATTCTCATACATATGTATCATTGTCCCTTGTTCTTATTCACAGTCTATCCTATGCTACTTTCCCTACTTGCTAATATCTTGAATAAGTGTCTCCCAAAATACTTATGTAGTTTAATGGTCTCTTTCTTTAATTGTACCTTCACAGAAGAGAAGGAGAAGGTAGCCTGTGAGCAACCACCCTCCATTGAAAATGGTGCTGCCCAAGCACACTCTGAGATTTACTACAGTGGGGATAAAGTGACATACAGGTGTGAAGGAGGCTTCCATCTCCGGGGATCAAGTATGATAACTTGTAACCGTGGCCAATGGACGCTGCCACCTGAGTGTGTTGGTATGTGTACTACTTCTAACACTTAAGCCTTGATCTTCTTTTCAACTGTTCAATCTGTCTATGCAAAGCCAGAGACTAATGCTTGCAAAATTTAGGGACACTTATGTACTGAATCGCCTTTGTGAATTTTTGAGTATATAGTGTATCTGTAGAATCTAGACAAAATTAATAAATCAAATTAATAAATCAGAATCAAAACATCATTTAGAATGCATTACTGCTAGGCTGTTGTGTAAGTTGTGTTAACTCCACGATCTTGTACTTTAAATGATCACACATATGTGAGCTGTGTTTTATTAAAGAAGTAAACGGGTGGATGTTGGGTTAGTGGTTGGCCATGTGTATGACAGCTCCCCCTTCTCTTGTACTGTGATCATTATAGGGCACTCTCTTCTCCGAAGGTAAGTCCTGCTCAGTAGAATTTTGCGTATTACCCTTCTAAACCTTGCAGCTTCTAAGAATCATGCCATGGTTTTGATTTTACTGAAGGATATCATTAAGTTAAAATCACTCCTGGTTGCCATCCTTCCTACCATCTTTCTCATGTTTTGATTAGATATTAAAAGAAGTTCCCCGAACATGTGTACTTGTTTATTACATAGTAAAAAACTACGAAAGAGGTTAAATAAATTAACTGAGGAAGAGAAACTTGGAGAGAGTAAATATTTCATCTAATTCAGAATAGGAATGAAAAGGAGAAGGAAGAAGATAGGAGTGGATAAGGCCCAGTGAAGTTTTAGAGTGGACCATGCCCGTTAGGATCTTTCTTTCTCAGCATTTAAGAACACCCTTATCACAGTTACTTTACCATCATGAAAGAAGAAACATACATGAATTTGTTCTTGATTAATAAATACATTTTAAAAAATACTTAAGCTAAAAGCTTTTGGGTTTCTGATTAACTTAGAAACAATTGTCTAGGTGATAGTACAAATATTGGTATAGCATGTTTTTGATAACTATCATTTTATTGTTATGGGTGTATTAAATTTTCAAATGATCCCTTTTCTTAGAAAATAATGAGAACTGTAAGCCTCCACCTGAAATAGCGAATGGTGCTGTTATTGATGGCTTATTGGCAAGTTATACAACAGGATCGTCAGTGGAGTACAGATGCAATGAGTATTACTTACTGAGTGGATCAAAAGCATCTCACTGTGAACAAGGAAAGTGGTCATCTCCACCTGTTTGCTTGGGTAAGTAAGAGAACACATAATTGAATTTATTTTTGTAGATTTTCATAAATAATGTTCATAGCAAAAAATGCTGTCTTATACATTTTCCCCGATTTAAGTAGGAGACCTGTTACATCCTAGTATGGATCTACATAAGATTTTTGCATATTAATTTTACTATAAAAGTAAACATAGCATATAATTGGTCATTTGGGGGCACACTAAGTATACAGTCCAGTAACAACGTTTAAACTTTGTGACTAGGTCCTTTATGTGTAGTGCTCCCCCTAGCTTCAGATAGACCTCACTATCTTTACTTGTAGTGCCCTCAGATGACCACTGGGAGACGAGGGCATCTCTTTTCTGGCACATTGCTGATGACTTTGATCCACTTCCTTCCTCACACAAATGTTCACTTAATTACTCTCATAGCCTTGTTTGGACTAAATGTTGTTGATGACTTAGAGCATCTACACAATACTGTCATACACAAACATGAACCACAATGCAAACATGTTTTATACTCTGCATGTGACATGTTTTCTCCACTTAAAATGTAGAATAAATCTGGTTTGTTTTCATGTCTGCATAGTGTTCTGTAGTGTCTGTATACCATAAGTAATTCAAATAAGCATTTCATTGACATATATATTTAGTGTTTAACATTTTTACATAACAATAAATTTTGCAGCAAAATATTTTGTACTTAAAATCCTTACATTTTTCTTTAAAAGGTTACTTAAATTTGTTTTTCCTACTTTTATTTTCTTACATTTTTCATATTTTCTGAATTTATATTTCCAGACCAACAACCTGATTTTTTTTAATTGCACTATTGTCCTTCAGATATTTATTTCTAGTTTATAACTCTCCCATTAAAGAATTGAAGTTATAGTTTTCTTAAGCTTTGTTAAACTTTGGATATTTTAATTATCATGTTATTGTTAATCTAATAATTAAAATATTTTTTATTTTATTTAAGTATAACTTAGACAGCTTTCAGTTTTCTAGAGGCTCAGGTTTGTTGTATCCTGAATAATTTGTCATCATTTAGCTTTCATTTTCTTTCATGTGCACTATAGCACATATATATAACTATAACTTATATTAACCATTGAGAATCACATATATTGGAAATATATGTGATCTTGATCTTATTTATATTATAATGTTTGAAAACATAGACACCTTCAATTTTAGCCTTTCGAGCTTCAACCCTTCAGTCATTGTGAGGATGCTGTGCCCATAAAATCGAATACATCTTCAACTACAATTTTCTGTTGCTATTATATTGTCATAAATGCTTTGATATTGAATTTTTGGTGATGTGACTGATATTTTGTTGAACTGAAATATAGTCTGTCTGAGGACAGAGGCTAAATTAAAATAGCAGTGAAATAACTTCATAAGGAATAGCAAGATTTAAAAAAATTCCATTCTGCTCCTGGAACAATTGTAATAAGATATTCCAACCTAACACTGATGAATCAACGCATATACTGAGCAAGGGTCACCATAGTAAGCAGGGTATGAGGAGGGAGCGCTACCATCTTGTTGTAGCCACACCTTCTTAGGGGCTGACTACAGGTGTGCCTGACCAGGCTTGTGAGGGCGTGGTCAGAGTGACGTAGTGGGACTGGTAGTGGGACTGCGTTTTCGCTTTCGGTTTCTCTTTTTGCTGCTTGCTGGACAGACTGCTACCACCGGCTGGCTGGTTCGCTCTGTAAGTAAGGCTTTTCCCTATTAAATACCCTTATATTTCTACCTGACTCCGTATTGGTAATTTCCCACTATATCTTGTCATCTATTAGAATTGGCAGTTCTTCCTCTGCAGGTTCCAACAGCTGCACAAGGGCTGCAGTTTTCCATTTGCATCAGTATGCAGACACACATCTCTCTAGCATCCCCTTGCCCATCCCCTCCTTCTCACAATGCTCCAGCAACACTGCTTTCCTTATCTTTGTCATACTTTCATTTTGGGATCTTTATATTGATTGCCCCGCCCATCTGAAAACAACAAGGTTTAATCCTTAAAAACCCTTATCAAGTATACTTCTCATTTAGGCTTACCAGAATTGTCTTACTTAAGAGGGCAGACTTCCGTCCTTCCTATACACCCCTCTTTGCTTACAGTGCAGCTATAAGGTGGTCACCAACCACAACAATTCATGTATTTATTATATTTGTGCTTTATTGTGGGAATTTCTCTTTACTTATGAGCACCACGAGTTCTTGTTGATAGCATTTTTGAATGGCAGTTACTCTATAAATATGTATAAGTTAAATGCACTTTGTGTTTCAAGGTCATTAGTTAATTTAAAAATTATGTTTAACATTGCTGGTTAATAACCTGAAATAATGTTTTAATTTTGGAAACTAGCTGGTTTAAATCTATGATATCATGAAAATAAGACATATACAACTGATTAATTTGGCAGTCAAAAAAGTATATATTTTATTATTGATATTACCATATCATGGGCCTACAGTTTAAGGTCAGATAGAACAACTTATGTGGCCTGAACCTTGAGACAAAGAACTAACAGGCCCGTGTTTTGGTGGCAAAGCAAGTTCTCCCCTCTACTGTCTCCACAAAGGAGATCTGCCATGCCTCTCCTGTGGCTAGACCTCTGTCTCCTGCAGATGAAGCAGGGACACATAAAAATGTTCTTTCTTATTTATGCCCCTCCAGCAACTCTGTCACCCTAACCCCAAACCCACAGTTCTGAGTTGTGTCTGGGCTTCCTATCCAAAGGCTCCCAGCTAAGTGCCTGACTCCTGTACTTGCCTGTGTACTGAAACCTGGAGCCAGCTGAGTCCTCATGTGGTGGTCAGTGTGGAAAAGCCCCTCAGTTCCTGTCTCTGTGTCTCTACACATTTTTCTTCTTCATCTGACATGTATATATGAGCTCTAATAATGATGGATGTTAAATGTATAATAACATTACTTTAGATGCTATTGTCATTTTTATTTTACAATGTATTGCTCACGTATTTGTCAGATTGCTGATAATTTTAAGAGAGCATTTTGTTTTGCAGAGCCATGCACTATTGATGCAGATCGCATGAGCAGAAATAACATACAGATGAAGTGGCAATATGAGGGCAAGATTTTACATGGAGACCTAATAGATTTTGTGTGTAAACAGGGATATGACTTGTCTCCAAACACCCCGCTGTCTGCGTTGTCCGTGCAGTGCAATAGAGGAAATGTGAGATACCCCGTGTGTGTTAGAAGAGGTAAAGAATATCATTGGACGTGTTGCTTGGTTGGTGTCTTCTAACCACAGTTGGACTTGACCCAGTTTTCTGCTCTACTCAGCACACATACTTCAAAGGATGACTGTGTTAAGAGATTTCCACTGAATGAGTATTTGTGAAGGGGAAATGGAGAGGTTTCATAAATAACCCCAGACTGCCCAAGGGTTGATTTTCCTCATGCAGAAGTCCTGTAAAGCTTCAGTTTACTCAGGATTTTCTGGGAACCTTTGTCTCAAGAAAGGGTTTAGCATACAATATAATTTTATTTATTCATTCCCTTGACCTAGGGGCTATTTCTTAAAATGGGTGAAAACCAAGATAAGACATACAGAAGGCATGGCTTGACTAAAGGGGAAATATTAAATCATATTGTTAATATTTTGCTAGTTGTAAATATGTATTCAAATTATGATAATTCATTACCTAGCATGGCATTTATTGTAGGATTATCTTCAATATTAGAAGGTATTGGTAAACGCTTTAATAATACTTTTAAATTGGCAAAATATCTTTTATTTCTGTAGCACTCATCAAACACTGAAAGTTCATTGTAGCAGTTGTTGTAGTCTGTAAAATTATTTTTCAGAATCTAGAGGGATGTGTGCGTCTCCTCCCCTGATAAGAAATGGAGACATTGTCAGTTCAGCAGGCAGCACCTATGAAAATGGCTCTTCAGTAGAATACCGGTGTTTTGACAACCATTTCCTACAAGGGTCAAGGGAGGCCTATTGTATAGATGGAGTGTGGACTGCACCGCCAATGTGTTTAGGTAGGTACTGCTAAACACCACTCTCTTTCACTCAGCCATTGACAGGTGGCATGACACAGACATAACATTTTATTTCTTTTACTTGTTTTATTGATTTTCCTATTCAGTCGCTGGCTTCTGATTTTCCTCTGTATTGTGAATAACTATAATCCATTTACTTTTACAAATACTTATTAAGTACAAGCAGTGTGTTATAGTTACATACTAATCTGATGTTGTGTTTTAAGATGACTAAGCCATAGTGTCATATAGAAGTCATTCATTATTCAGTGTGAGTGGTACTATTACACGAAATTAAAAAGAATACTCATACTATATACATGTATGAAGTTGTCAAATAGCTAAATTAATCATTAAAAATATAAAAAGATGATCAGACAAAGATAATACTGATAATATCTCCAGGCCTTAAAGTATATGTGGAATTAAGGGCACAGGACACCATTACAATATGTGGAAGGAAAAAAACAAAACAAAACAATGTGCAGGTGTCCTGAGGCCTGAAGAATAAAAGAATAAATTGCTAATGAATCTCAGAAACCAAGGTTTCATGATATGGGCCTTATTGTCAGTTATCAAAAGCAATACTGTGAATTCTTTGTACATTCAAAGTTTTTCTCATTTTAATTTCTTTCAGTTTTTCTTTTGTATAGTGATTCTGTTTTTTTGGATGCACAAAAAACAAAGCAGCTAAAATACTGCTGGTTGCCCTGTGTGACTTTTACAACAGTACTCCTTTATCAATAAAATGCTTTGCTTTTTTAAATTGTCTTGTGATCAACTTTCCTATCTTATAGAACCAGATTTTGAAATTTATATTTTTATTTAATTTTTTTCATACAACATATTTTGCTCATTTCCATTCTTCCTCTCACTCAGCCCCACCAACTCCCCCACCACATCTTTACTCACTATTTTTTGTTTTCAGTTCATGTTTTGCAATTTTTAGGAGAGGAGAGAAAGGAGAGAGAGAGACAGAGACAGATACAGAGAGACAGATACAGAATGAGACACACAGAGAGACAGAGACAGGCAGAGAGATACCGAGAGACAGAGAAAAGTGCATTAGCTTATGCAGTAAAACTTTTTTCATGTTTTGATTTTTTCAAACCTCTGGATTTGCATTTTAAGAGTATTTCCTCATGCAATGTATAGTTGGTTTATTTCAAAACATATACAATCGGATAACGTTTTTCTTTGTGGTAAAGTATTTAAATCATTGGCATATAAAATATTCTTACTGACACATTTTAATAATAGTGGTCATTTACTACATTCATAGATATTCTACATGTTCGATAGTCTTTTCTCCAAACTTAAGGATAAATTATCTTTTTTTCTGTTTTGTTTTACGATCTTACTGTCCATGAGTTTGCTTATGCTTTTCTCTGGTTTTCCCTTAACTGCTATCATAGATCATATCATGATTTTTGAGATCTGATGCGAATCATTCTTTTATTTCTTCTCTAAGACTATAGGATACTTGCTGTTTGCTTACTTTTTCCACACACTGTATTAGTGTACTGTGCTTTCTAGTTCAGACTGTAGTTTAAGGTCTGGAGATACTAATAGCATTGTTTTTGTCTGACAATCTTATTTTTTGTTGTTGTTGTTGTTGTTTTTGTTTTTCAAGACAGGGTTTCTCTGTGGTTTTGGAGGCTGTCCTGGAACTAGCTCTTGTAGACCAGGCTGATCTCAAACTCACAGAGATCTGCCTGCCTCTGCCTCCCAATTGCTGGGATTAAAGTTTTACTTCTTTTTTTGTGTGTGGTTAAATTAGTTATTTGACAGTTTCATTCATGGGTATGCTGTATTCTGAATACTCTGTTGCTCACTCCTTTCTTACCTCTCTCTCAGGTCTATCATCCCCCTCATCCCTGCAAGTCCCTTTCCCAGATTCATGATGTTTAGTCTTGCGACACATTTAGTTTAACCAGGGCCATCTTTGTGACTATTATATTGAAATATCTACTAGAGTCTGGTGGGGCCATCATTTGGTATACAATTAAAGGCAAGGATTCCCCCTCTCTCTGAATCTGTCAGCAGCAAATAGTCCAGCAGTGAGGGGGTAGAATCACAGAGGCTTGCCTCCATTGAGCTGGACTGTTGGTGGGCTCATCCTTGCACACTCAACTCAAGCATCACTTGCTGCTGTGAGTGTAATTGCAATGGCCATGTCCAGCCCAGGAGATGACATTTTGAAGCTCTTTTCTCTATTTTTCAGGTCCTGCATTCTTTCCACACCCTCTTCTATAATGCTGACTAGGTCTGAGAGGGCCTGGTATAAATGACTTATTTAACACTGGGTACTTATCCATCCATTTTTTTAGCATCTCAGCACCTCATAGGCACTGGTGTCTGCATGTACAAACATTCATGGGAAAGAAAGGATTCTTTAATTTGGGCTGAAAGCAGCATTTATTTTTGAGTATAAACATAAGTGTAATGTTTAATTTAAATGAAACATAATGAACTCAAATTAACTAAAATTTAATCAGAGTGCAGTTAGTTACTCCATAACAGTAATGCTACATTTTTTTTTTACAAGTTGGCACATCGTATTTAGTGAGTTGTCATAGATCATAGAATTATAGCTGGATGAGACCATTCACTGCCCTTCCAGCAGTGTGCATTGAATCTTCTGTGACTATGAAAGCTGAGCAGTAGGGAGGAAGTTCCAAGTTCAATTCTAGCTTGCACTTGCCGTATCGTGCATCCAAGGTGTGTGTGATGTTCTCAGCAATAAGGTCTCCTGAGTTCTGGTAGGCCACCACAAGGGATGCCAACAGTCGTTTAGAAGTATCTGTGTACTTACTCATGTCCCATGTCCCATCCCTTCCTGCCTTCATCTGCTCCTTACTGGCCCATGACCTTCCCAGCCATAGGCTTTCTTTCAGCAAAAATTACAAAGCTAGCCAAGAATCAGGATTCAAATCCAATTAGAAAGCAAATAGTAACTCCCAAACACTCTCACCACTAATAAACCAGTGCACCTATATAGTTGTATTCAGAGTTGAGTAATGGCTAAGCCTGTTGATGTGTCCCCCTCCCCAGAAGCCTGAATAGCTTCTGTGACCTTCTGTCACTATGAGAAGTTTGGCTACTATCTTTCCATTTCTACAATGTCCATTTTAAATAATCTTTGGTAGATTTGAGTTTCTCAACAGACATTAATTTTGTTTTGTTTGTTTTGTTGTTTTAGACAGGGTTTTTCTGTGACTGTCCTGGGACTCACTCTGTAGACCAGGTTACCTCAAACTCACAGAGATCTGCTTGCATCTGCCTCCGCAAGGGCTGGGATTAAAGGTGTGCCCCACCACTGCCTGGCTAGACATCAACATTTTGACCATAGTTATCACACATATGCTCAGGTCCCTATCCACAAAGACACAAATCTGTACCATCTTGTAGGACTACATCTATTTCCCAGCCTAATTTCTCATTATCTGTATAAAAAATGATTGAATAGCAAATGTTATATGTGAGCAAATTTAGGAGTTTAGTACTGTTTGATCCTATTTCATGGAATACTTGTCACATCCTCTGTCTAGAGGTAAGGATTGAGGTAGTTGGGTTTGATCCAATTAGAATTGGAAAGGAAGATGCTTTTTTTCTATGGTTATATGCTGAGACTTTTCGTTTCTATGCCTCCTGCTGGACGGACAATGGTATAGGTGAAGAATACCAAAAATGCAACATAGTTTTTAATCAAACTATCATGGCTCACACATCCTCCTGCAATAGCCACACATCGATTTGATGAATTCTTCAAAGGGAGGAAAAGCTTAGAGGGTCACGCTAAGTCCTCAATTTCAGACCTGTTCATGCTTCTTTCTGCTCTCATCCCTGTGAGATTGTCAGAAACTTTGCTATGTGCCTGTTGTTGGTCATTTTACACTGAGCCTCTAAGCTGAACTGAGAATCAAAAACTCACCCAATATTTTTTTCTGGTACCTTTAAATCACCAGCTGCCTATGTGGGTCTCAGAGGCCCTGGTATACTTATAGTTTAAATCTGTTTTCCAAATGTTTTAGTTTTGGGACATTTTTGGTCTTATATCAGGCACTTGATCATAGGTGAAATCAGGATCTGTTTTTAAGAAAACCACATGATTTATAATATAGTCCTAATTGGGGGATGTCTATAGAATGAGCACTCTGATACCATTAAGAGCAAAAGAGAGGAGGTCTATTCGCAGGTGAACAGAGACAGGCTAGATCCTGAACAACTTCAATTCCAAGTCTAGTTTGCATTCTCCTTTTGCATTCTAAAGCTACAAGCCAGGGTGAACAGGCAAGCCCGTGGACTTTCCAGAAGCACAAGCAGCAGCAAATTGGGGACTTTTGCTTTCAAAGGCATGTTATAATTGACAGGTGTAAGCTTTTGTGGTCAGTTGGCTAAGGGCGATAACCTATTGTGTTCCATCTATTTTAAGGTTATTCTGTTCTAGGTAGCAGGGTGAAGTCATATTTGGCAATAAACAATACAAGCAAATCACTAAATGTATCAATAAATCAGTATCTAATAATTGGTGTCTTCTACCTTATTCTACTTCAATTCTAATTTAAATTGCAATTCAATTTGACCTAACTTAAATAATATTGAATGGAGAGCCTGTAGATTCTAAGGTCCCTTTCCAATTATTCTTTACTTAGCATATTGCTTGTAGTACCTCTCACATAACAGTTGACCTGTAGATACACAATAAATTCTTTAAAAAACTATCTGAATAAATATACTTGTTGTTTATTAACAATCTATGGTTTATGTATCACGTTAACAAATCTGGAAATCTTAAATTTATAGCAGAAGGATTTAATTGGTCTTACATCATCCAGGATGGAAATGTGATGCAGGGAACCCTATTTTGAAAATATTTTATTTTTTGAAAATTATCAAAATTATCAAAATTACTTTATCGTGGGGAAAATCAGATACTTATCTACTATATGTGTTCAATTTTTTGTCCTGCTTTATGTTAATACATAGTTCTAGGAAAATCTAAACACTTTCATTGCTTAGGATTTAAAATATAATCTAATCTCCATACTTCATTTTTTTTCATTTTTTTTAAATTTAAATTAGAAACAATCTTGTTTTACATGTCAATCCCAGTTCCCTCTCCCTCCCCTCCTCCCCTGCCCCCCACTGATCCCCTAGCCCATCCTCTTTCTGCTCTCCAGGGAGGGTGAGGCCTTGCATGGGGGATATTGGAGCAGGGATTAGGCCCTCCCCCTTGTATCTAGGCTGAGAGAGTATCCCTCTATGTGGAGTGGGCTCCCAAATTTGTGTACTAGGGGTAAATATTGATCCACTACCAGAGGCCCCATAGATTAACCAGACCTCCAAACTGACATCCACATTCAGGGGGTCTGAAACAGTCCTAAGCTGGTTTCTCAACTATCAGTCCAGGGTCCATGAGTTCCCCCTTGTTCAGGTCAGCTGTAATCCCAGTTCCCTCTCCCTCCCCTCCTCCCCTGCCCCCCACTGATCCCCTAGCCCATCCTCTTTCTGCTCTCCAGGGAGGGTGAGGCCTTGCATGGGGGATATTGGAGCAGGGATTAGGCCCTCCCCCTTGTATCTAGGCTGAGAGAGTATCCCTCTATGTGGAGTGGGCTCCCAAATTTGTGTACTAGGGGTAAATATTGATCCACTACCAGAGGCCCCATAGATTAACCAGACCTCCAAACTGACATCCACATTCAGGGGGTCTGAAACAGTCCTAAGCTGGTTTCTCAACTATCAGTCCAGGGTCCATGAGTTCCCCCTTGTTCAGGTCAGCTGTTTCTGTGTTTCTCCAGCCTGGTCTTGACCCCTTTGCTCATCACTCCTCCTTCTCTGCAACTGGATCTAATTCAGTTCAGTGTTTAGCCATGGGTGTCTGCTTCTGCTTCCATCAGCTACTGGATGAAGGCTCTAGGATGGCATATAAGGTAGTCATCAATCTCATTATCGGGGAAGGTCATTTAAGGTAGCCTCTCGACTATTGATTAGATTGTTAGTAGGGGTCAAATTTGTAGATCTCTGGACATTTCCCTAGTGCCAGATTTCTCTTTAAATCTATATAATGGCTTCCTCTATTATGGTACCTCTTTTTTTGCTCTCCTCCATTCTTCCCCTGATTGGACCTTCCTGTTCTCTCATTTCCTCCTCTCCCCTCCTCTTCTCCCCTTCTCTTTCTCCTAATCTCCCCCCCCCCCGGAGATCTTGTTCCTTTCCTCTTCTCTGAGGACCATGTATGTCTCTCTTGTTTTGGCTACCCTGGGTTTTTTGTTTTTCCATATAAAGTTGAGAATTATTCTTCAAGTCTGTGAAAAATTGTGCTAGGATTTTGATGAGGATTGCACTGAATCTGTAAATTGCTTTTGGCAAGATTGCCATTTTTACTATGTTGATCCTGCCTATCCAAGAGCATGGAAGATCTTTCCATTTTCTGGTATCTTCTTTAATTTCTTTCTTTGAAGACTCAATGTTCTTGTTATACAGGTCTTTCACTTGTTTGGTTAGCATTACCCCAAGGTATTTTGTGTAGTTTGTGGCTATTGTAAAGGGTGATGTTTCTCTGATTTCTTTCTCAGCACATTATTGTCTGTATATAGTAGGGATACTGATTTTTTAGTTAATCTTTTATTCTGCTACTTTGCTGAAGGTGTTTATCAGCTGTAAGAGCTCCCTGGTAGAGTTTTTCAGGTCAGTTATGTAAACTATCATATCATCTGCAAATAATGAAAGTTTTACTTTTTCTTTTCCAATTTGTATCCCCTTGATCTCTATTTGTTGTCTTATTGCTCTAGCTAGAACTTAAAGTACAATGTTGAAGAGGTATGGAGAGAGTGGACAGCCTTGTCTTGTTCCTCCATACTTCTCAACTGGAAATTTAAAAAGAGAATACTGTCCACTGCTTTGCATGGAGATATGTTAGAACATTTGGGCTAGTGCTGAGAATCCATCTTGTTTCTACATTGCTACCTTGTTAGTAATTAGTGGTTTATCTTGAAAATTTTATATATAGAGTATTTAAAGGAATATTATATATTCATAATATATTTGTAATATATTATATGTAATATATTTAAAGGAATAATACATATTATTTTATGGTATCAGACTTCTAACCTTTTTGAAAATACTATAAAATGGAATTATGTTTATAATTGAATATGCATATTAAAAAGGAACTAATGACAAAGTCTATGTCATACTCACTGCAGGCAATCAGTTAACTCAAGGATTCATAGAAGGACAATGTATATATATATATGGGCTTGCTGGGCTTTGAACATAGGACAGGGTCTTACCCTTTACCACTGAGTGACCTCTCAGACATGTTATTTAAACTTTCTGAAGAAGCAATGGAAAGGGACTGTAAATGAATTTTTATAATTATCTGCTTGTAATTTTTGACTCAAGCACCACAGTAGTTAATGTCACACAGGTTCCTTTTGGGACCAAGAGTGAGCATATTTTCTGACTCCCAACAATAATTCTAACCAGCTGTGTCTCTCTGGAGTATAAAGCCATCCCATATAGAAAACATTGAAAGTGCTGTTAGTACAAGATGTAGCGATACAGTTTTCATCTTAATTTATTGTGTTTGTTCAGAGCCTTGCCCATTATCATTTGCTGAAATGAAAAAGAATTATTTACAACTGAAATGGAATTTTGACAATAGACCACTCATTCTCCATGGCGAGTATATTGAATTTATTTGCAAGAGAGGTGCATACATAACTGAGACTTCTGTTACTGGGTCTGAACTTCGAGTGCAATGTGACAGAGGAAGGCTGAAATATCCAACGTGTACACAAAGAGAAAGGTAAGAAAATGTACCTATGATATTTTTGTCAAGTTTTATTCAAGAGAGTCACTATTTTACAAATTCCACAAATATTGTGCTCTACAGTACTCTGTCTTTATGTCTCTTGGAAAGGAAAATCCCATTTTCTTCACATGTTAAACCCATAAACGCTGGAAGCTTCTGAGTTTCCTGAAGTCAAATTGCTATTTACCATTTGATATCTGCAATACTTTGACAGTTGGGAAGAAATCCATTTTTATGTACAATATTTAATTGTGCAAAATTCGATTCATATTTTTTGAAGTAAGAAAAAAAGAACATTTACCATACTTCTTACTGGTCATAAGTTCACGTACAACAGAATTTTTGAAATATGTGTGCAGCTGCAGATAATGAGCCAACTCTGGGAACTACACCATGATGATCTTGCAAATGTATTTAGGTTTCTATACAAATGCTTAGGGTTCTTGCTTAGAAATGTTTTTTTTATGTTTAATTATGATAAAATCAGAGCAGAAGATTTCTGCATAATACTAAAAGATTTGGTAACCTGCGGGGGGGGGAGGAAATAGCAAATACTTTGAAGAAATTATAAACCTGGTACTACTTAACAACACTAATAGACAACATTAAGTTTTTCAAATGGAACCAACAGGATGTTTTATTAAACATGGTTGCCTGCTCTAGCTGGTTCCTACTTAAGGCAGTGCTCACATGAAATGTTCAGTGACTAGAATTGTAATAGGCACCGAATTATGATTAACGTTCTTTTACATTCCCTTTCTCTCCTTTTTCTCATCAAGGAGTCTGTCTTTCTAAGATGCTTTACAGACATAAAAACAAGTGGAAGGAAGAGAAAGAGTATTTCAGCATGAATCCTAGAGGAAGACTGTGCTGAGTTCGGTGTTCTGAGGCTTTACCTCTGCATAAAAATGTACTCAATATTTTCCTTATTTATAAATCAAAGCAAAAATGTGTTTCATTTTAGTTTGATTTCACATTTAACCTGAACTTCAATTTATCTTTCACCTGTTAAATTTGATTTAGTCTGCAAATCATTCCTGTTTTCTATTGATCATTGCTAGACTATGTTGTTTCCTTGAGTTTATATGGAAAATATATGTCTTTATTATATTCATTAAAATTAAGGTTTTCTGTCACTTTTAATTCAATATTTGTATTAATGTCTGAGACACACACACTGGAAATAAAGTGGCTGTCATGATAGAGTGGAAGAGTTACTTTACAAAATGAGGAAGAGACTACTTTTCAAATAAAACGAACTCTAATATATATCACAATGATAATAATCAAATTACAGCGCAGTGTACTACCTTACTTGTCCAAATAATTACTTTTGCTGTTTTAACAGTTTATACTTTCTGCACAATATCTTAAGGTCAGATATTGTTGGAGTCACACAGACTACATATTATGATGTTGGAGGTCCCATAGGCAAGGTGATCATCTCAGTTACCTAGCTCAGTGGGTCACCTGAAATAACAACACTGCTACCTTCTTTTTCAAATAAGAGTTAAATTTCCAATTGTGACTTCTGATTACTCACAGGTATGTCACATTATTATCAGAATCATGGTGTCCCTGTTGGGACTGTCTGTTAGTATAAGAAGAACACAGTTACCCTGTTCATTTACCTCCAGATGTTAGTTTCCTATTTACATGGAATCAATAAATCGTTACCCTGTTCATTTACCTCCAGATGTTAGTTTCCTATTTACATGGAATTAATTAATCACCCCCGCCAGTTACAATTCTATATCTTTCAACTTGTTATTGCAAAACCAGCTGATTTAATTCCAACTTCTGAAGAAATGAGAGAATGAAATGAATGAGAATGGATGCCCATAAAGCTATGGCACAAAGGTAAGTAAGCTCTGCTTAGTGTCTGGGGATGGACTGGGGAACAAAAAAGGGATGACCAGATTGGCTCAGTGGAGACAAAACTAAAAATGCTGTTTTATGGTCTGGATTGCCTCACAGGAAACGGGACTGTGTGAACTTTGACTGTTGTAGGTTGGAGGATAAATGTAAGACACAAAAAAACAAGACACAAATGTGAATTTGTCTGTAAGTGGGGCCCTGAATGAGGACAGAGGGATGGGAATAGAGGGGACCTTCTGAAATAATAGGAGAAATATGGACACATTAACATTAAATAGAATTAATAATGAAAGACGTAGAAAATTCAGGGTGGCCTGGCAGTGTTGGTGCACACCTTTAATCCCAACAATTGGGAGGCAGAGGGACACAGATCTCTGAGTTCAAGGCCAGCCTGGTCTACAGAGCAAGTTCCAGGACAATGAAGGCTATACTGAGAAACCCTGTCTCACAAAAACAAAACAATAACTGGGGGGTAAGTGTCACATAATATATTGTACAGAGTTTCTGGAGAAATAAGAACAGACACATCAAAAGCACAAGGGCAGAAATGACCTTTGTGGGGAGTGGCAAAGGTAGTATGGCTGGGATGAGGGCTGTTACATCCTATGATTTCTGTTTATTCTGTGAAAAAAAGAAAATTTACAGGCTGAGAATGGGGCATGATCATAGATGGGGAGAGAAATTCAGAGAAGCCTGATCTAAAGTCAGGTAACGTGGCTCATTGAAATAGTTTCAGAGAATTATCACAGATGGGTAAATGTTGAAAATAATGTTACAATAATAGTCATTTGCTATTCAAAGAACACTGTGTCCTAAGTTCCACCAAGAAGAATATGAAAAAGCAAACTTTGCTTAATTTACCATATTTGCAGTACAAGGATAAAAGATCAAAGAACCACTAACATGGTAACTACCCAGGGGTATTACAAAGTGTAGAAGGGCATGGCTCAGTTCTTCACAGAGAAACTTAAAAATTTCAAGAGGAAATTAAGAATTCATTGGTATCTACCCTTTTCTTCATATAAAGATAGATCAAAACACTAGAGAACATTATATATTAAAACTGAGCTCAGGAGAACTCAGCTTGAGTCCTTTGAGGAAAAGTGAAGAAAATGTGGCTCTAATAAGTCTAACCAAGTGGCTGGTGAGATGGCTCAGTGGATGAGAGCACTGGCTAATCTTCCAGAGAGCCAGACTTAAGTTTCCAGGATCTACATGGCAATTTACAGCTGCCTGTAATGACAATTCTAGGGGATCCCATGCTATCTTCTAGTCTCTGAAGATTCTGCAAGCATTGTGGTTCACATACATATACTTATGTGTAGACACATCCATGTCAAATAAATAAATAAACCTTTAAAAAAAAACAAGGTTGGCAGAAAATGTAAAAGTCACCTCCCTATAGATCCACAACAGTCATCCTTGTTACTTGCGAAGATGTACACAAGTAGAATCTTTCTCCTTTGTCTCTCCTGCATACTCTGATTTTTGCTGCCTGCTCCAATGATGACTGTTTTCATGTGGTTATGTTATTTTGTATCCAAGACAGCATGAGGAAAACTTACTTGTCCCATAAAGTTCCAATTTCCTAAAACAACTGAACAACAGAATCTGCAACCACTCCACCTTTGTATTTTTAAAAATTTATTGTCTATCAAAATTAATACTCTTTTTTATAATGGATATTTTAAAACTACTTTTTGAGAAGTTCATATAGGAACACTGCACTTACATCATTACTACTTTTCCCTGTCTAACTCTGTGTCTGGCCCCCAATCACTCTCGCATTCATGATCTTATTTTCCTGTGTAAACAAGTAAGTGAGTAACCCCAAGGAATGACCGTGAGTACAAAGGAAGATAGGAATGTCATATTTTTATTCTAACTTTAATTGAAAAAAAATAGTAACATTTCAAGGACTCTTAATATGTCTTGCCCTTGCTTCAGGAACAGCTTTCTGTGTTTCCTTGAAGTACAGTTGTTTTGTCAAGAAAGAATTATTTTCTAAGTATAAGACAAAATGAACCATCAAGTAAAAAAGTGGCATAAGAAGTTGTTGTATAGAATATGTTTTTGTTCGTGAAGGTTAAAGAGAAGAAGGAATGCTTACACAGATGAGAATGAAAGGTGGATGGCAGTGCCATTTTAAGATTAGGGATGGGCATGCCTTTAATTCCAGCACTTGGGAGACAGAAACAAGTGGATCTCTGTGAGTTCAGGGCAGCCTGGTCTACAGAGTAAGTTCCAGGACAGCCAAGATTGTTTCACAGAGAAACCCTGTCTCAAAAACCAAAAAGGACTAAAAAAGATTAGGGATGATTTCAACTCAAGGAAATAGTGAAAAACCAAACCAGAAAGCTTGAAAGCATTTCAGAAGGTAAAAGTGAGTCAACAACAGGTGTCTGAGATAAAACCTAAAGATGCTATGCATATGATTAATTTTACCAAAATTAAAGGCTATTAAAATTTCCCCCAAAGTCAGATATTGTGGATGTTTGTTTCATCAGTCAACTTCCTCAGGCATTAGGGACAAGCTTCATTGGAGGTCAGACTCTTCAACTTAACTTAAATTTGGTTTTTCTCATTCACAATAACAGAGGTAAAATGGAGGGATTACAAAAAGGCCCAGGGAAACAATTGTACACCCAAGAACAACACTACCCATATGTAAAACACCTCAGAAAAAAAATCACAAGGCTAAAGGAAAAGGATTTAAAGGGGCATGCTTACCATCATTGTCAGAAATTTGGGCCTCAGACAAGAATTTCCCTCAGCTGAGTTAAAATAACTAGGACTTGAATCTGCACCCTCTGAATAGAGGAAAACTACTGTGAAGGATGATGTACCACCTTTCAAAGGTAAGATGAGCCTTCAACTCAGAATGCTAGCCTTCAAGACAAAGCTACAGGAGGTTCTCTGGAAAAAGTTTCACTCAAGGAATTGCAGACAAACATCCAGGTGACTTTTATGTAACAAGTGAAAACATTATTATTATTTTCAATACTGGGACTTTTTTATATACCTTCATTGATACTTGTGGACCCTTTTATAAATGAACTTTGTAGTAAAAGGAATATTGATGGGAAACCAATGGAATTATTTGATGTTATCCCCAACCTTAGTAATTGCCCTACACACAGCTTGATAACAAGGCACTACTTTACTCAACTCTATGCTATTCTTTTTTTCTTGAAATTTGAACACCCTAATTCCAGTTGGAGGAATGGAAAGTATTACAGTATTGGGTGACAGTGGAATCTTGATCACTCATGCAGTTGCTTTTAAGACTATATTCAGGAAGTTATTGTATTGGTGTCCTCTTTCTGTATGTCCGTTGACATTCAAATTCAGCTTGTTTGCTTGGTTGGTTTTAAGGGATGTACATTTTGTAACATTGATTTATAGATGCAAAGGAGAGCCATCTGGTATGCTATTATCTCAAAGTTGTAGGAGTGAGTGCACAGCTACTACATTTACCCCTATTGATGATCACGCAGTCTCCTAGTACTTCCAAACAAAAAGAAAATATGGTATGCCAGGATTCTTTTTAGGACTGTCAAAAGCATATTGAGACATGCCTCCCTCCCAACATATACACTCATCAAACTCTCCCCCTATTATTTTCTTTTTAAATAAATTTTATTTAATTTAGAAACGATCTTATTTTATGTATCAATCCCAGTTTCCCCTCCCAACCTCCCATGTCCCTCAAAACCCTCTCATCCCATCCCCCATTCACTCCCCAGGGAGGGTGAGGCCTTCCATAGGGAGCCTTCAAAGTCTGCCATATTCTTTGTGATAGGGCCTAGGCCAACCCCCTTGTGTCTAGGCTCAGGGAGTATCCCTCCATGTGGGATGGGCTCCTGAAGTCCATTCCTATGGTAGTGATAAGTGCTGATCCACTACAAGAGGTCCCATAGATTTCCAAAGTCTCCTCACTGACACCCACATTCAGGGGGTCTGGATCAGTCCCATGCTGGTTTCCCAGTACCATTGTACTTTAAATGTTACTTTTATTATTCATAAAATAGAAAGTGAAATTCACATTCAATCTTTAAGAAAACAAATCTTTAAAGCAATAAAAATGAAAGTGCATTTATATTTATTGAACAATTTTATGAAATACTTAAAACATAGACATGTGAAATGACCAAACAACACATAGCTA